GGACCTAGGACAAAGGTGAAGTACAGTGACGAATACCATTCCCTGACAGCCACCTCAGACGCGGCCTTCCTCTTGCACACCACACAGTCACCTCTGGAGTCCAGGCATTCCGATCACCATCAGTCTATACCATCTTTCACTGTACCCATCACCTAAGTCACCACTAATTGAGCAAAAGCAGAACTCTTTATTCAAAATGGACCACTTCCTCATCTCAGCAGGAAGCTGGTCTTCAGTTCTAGTTTTCCCCTCCTACAGCCCCAACTCCATGGGTTTGAGAATCTTTGCCTCACAGTTTCCCTTTGACCTGGAGATAGACACTTGGTCCCTGATCTGGGTGCCCCTCACCAGAGCTCCTGTGAAAGTGGTTGTCTAATACTAGAATTCAGAGTGCCCTTTTCCCATGTTGTTCACCAGCTACTGCCTGATGGGAATGCTGGGACGTGTTCAGAAAATGGCAACCAGGATTGCTTCTCCCAAAAGCATGTGTTTGGCCTGTAAATGTCTCCTCAGTTGTGTGTATTAAGCTCAGTCCAGCAGGAGAAACGTGTTGATTAGACTCATCTAAAGCAGCACCTGGTTATCTCTGTTCTGTGTCCAATCTCTGACCTTGGTGTAGTTTTTAAGGTGCAGTCTTGTTGAGGGCTCTTTAAGCCACCCAGATTATGTGCACTGGGCCCTACTTAACCTGAGATGTGTTTACCTCCAGAGTCCCAGCTGATTAAGGAGATATGAATTCGCCCTATGTAAACCATGGCACTTTTCTCAGCAGACTGTGTTTGCTTAAGTGTTCAGTGACTTGAGCCTTCCCAACACTGCAAATGCCAGGGAGCCCCCAGAACGCCTTCACTCAGGGCCATATTGAGAGGCGGAAAGGGTCACATGAATGAGTACTGGTTCTTCAAGAACTGACACATACTCATGGATGCCACATAGGCCCCATGCTCAATGACCCAAGCTCTTCCAACTTGGAGGCTGAAGGAGCAAGGAGCTGTGTGAAGTGAGAAATGTTCTTCATCATCAAGATTTGTCTCTGGGTGGCCCTGGTCTCCTTCACATTCAGGTCAGCTGAGACAACCAAAGCCTTCCAAGGCCATCAACCAGATCCTTACTCAGGACCAGGACAGCTCTACAGGGGACAAGCTTGACAGGCCGTGTCCCTTCTAATAATCAGGACACATGAGATAAAACAAAAGAGATCACAGAAGGAAAAGGATTTTAATGAATGGGCTGATGGCAGATGTACCACTGCTGCCGGTGTGGTTCACACGTCTTATCCATACATCACCCTTCGCTAAGTTATCTAGCTTCTTCGTGAGCTTTGCAGTCACCTGTAAGATGGAGTGATGTCTACTCTACAGGACCATATGAGACCAAGATAGCCCGGCCCTAGTGCTGGGCACACAGTTCTTCTCAACGCAACTCTCAAGTCAGGATATTTCTGGCAAATAAACAGCAAATAACTTGTTTTATCCTCTTCACAGTAAAATACCTAAATGGGTGCTCACTGCTGCTGCCAGGACTCACTGCCAAGTATTTAGAATGGAAACAGCAGGGTAAAAATCATTTTTCTTTCCATTTCCAAAGCAAGGCAAGGGCAAAGGGCACTAATGACCTCTAAAGACAAACGCACTGAAAGAGAGTGGAGATCCTATTGTGTGCGTTCAGAAAATCATCCACTGACAATGATTACATCTTCGGGGCCAGCCTGACACTAAACTGCCCCTGTGCAGTAAGTCACCATGAACAGCAGGTTAGTCAGCTTCAGGTTATCTGTGCTGATGCAGAAAAGCAAATCCCAGGTGGTGGTAAATCTCAGAAATTCTATTTGGGCTCTGGAATGCATTTTATATGTGCGTATTTTTTTTTTCTTGGCAGACTCACCTTCCTAATTATGTTTCCCTTAGGCTATTATTAAAATTATTCTGCATTCCCCAAGCATACACCACTGGCAGCCAGGGGAAGGCAGCCTGTAAATGACAGGGGTAAAGTCTATCTGGGATTAAGTGTAGGCCTTGCTGCATGTGCACACGCACGCACACACACACACATTCAAGAAACCTAAGAATTACGAATAACCTGGGCGGGGGGCAAGGAAGTTGGTACAAAGGCTTCTCCGTAGACCAAGGATAAGATCATAAAACATAAAGCCCTTCCTTGGTCAGTACACACGTGCCTTTATCTCGCCAATGATTATCTTTCATCACCTTTTACCTGGTAGGACTGGGGCACAAAGATAATTTTATTTCCATGAAAACCTATGCATTCCCCCAATATTCCTACCAGTTATTTCAGAAATGTCAAAAGTAGCCAGGCATGGCGGCATGTGCCTGTATTCCCTGCTACTTGGGAGACTGAGGCAGGAGGATTGCTTTAGTCCATTTCAAGGCCAGCCTGGGCAATAGTGAGATCTCACCTAAAAAATGGAGGGGAGTGTCAAAAGTAGGACAAAATGTGCATTTAATTGCACACATGGATACTCATGCTGAGAAATGGGTTTCTGCAGATTTTACTAATTAATGGTAAACTTAGAAGTCTCTTCAAACACTGATCCATACAAATTCAACTTTACAGGAAAACAACCTGGAATGATTTGCATATTCCAACAACTCACTGACCATGGAACCAATAAACTCACACCGAAACTAGTTACTCATTTTACTAACATCCTCATCTCTATCCTGTATGGGTGGCTGAGGTTGCTTCAAGCATCTGGGCTTGAGAAAATGTTGAGTACTTCATGAAGAGAGAGTGTGTATATTCCAGCGCGGAAGAACTCCTTTGATCCATTCCCAAGCATTACCATGGATACCAATATGCTGTGTTCTCAAAAGTCTTCCCAACTGCTTTGGCAGTGTCTTCTTCACTAGCAATAACAGGAAAACAAACTACCGTGATTGGAGCCTAACACAAATGGAGAACAGTCCAATTTTTGTGCCATAAAGCTAGGCTGCTCCTCATTCCAATCCATGTTTGTTTCTTCAAAAATGACCTAGATTAAGCTGAGCTAAAATGAAGTAAAAATCAAATTGTGGTGCCACTGAGAAGCCCTGTCTTTAGAATGGGACTCCTAAACTTACAGGTCTCTATTTTCAGTGTCCCCTACTGTCAGTATATCTTTCAGCTAAACCAAAGAAACAGTATACAGCTTAATACACTACCTTCATACAAAAAGAAAATGTTTCTATTGATATTTGCTTATTCAGTGGTACCTTGGTTCATGAACGCTTTTGTTTGGAAAACAATTTGGTTCCCAAACAGAAGCATCTGGCAAAATTTTGTTTTTGTTTGCAAACTCTGTACCGGGTGACACAGATGACCACCATGACCAAGGCCATCTTTCCCACAGGAACATAAATGTGGCCCTCTTTTCCGAAATTGTAGAACAAATTAAGTTTGTCAACTAAGGTACCACTGTATATGCAAAAAGCAAACTTTGGAAGGAGACATATGCAAGCAACTAAGACATTTCCTTAACGTAAATAAGTGGGCAGCTGGATGCAGGAATGGGAAGCAAATTCACTACCTTTATATAAATATATGTTTGGGGCTTGGGGGGCATAGAGTCTCACTACGTTGCGTAGGCTGGGCTCTCAAACTCAGAATCATCCTGCCTCAGCCCCCAAGAAGCTGGATTACGTGACCAGCTTATCTTTTGATTTTCAAATCCTTTCAATATATTATTAAAAACTAAAGGGGTCAAGTACATATTATATGCTATTTCCCTTACTGATGGACCTGAATTCCTCTTGGCACATGTCATCATTCAGATATTTTTCACAGATATAAAAAGGATTTTTAGGAAATTTAGGAGTTAAAAACTAGAAAAATTAAACTTGTAAAATGCATCATAGAATGCAGAGTTGAAGTTTTTTTTCCTCATTAAGTTCTAAGTTGAAAGAGTGTTCTGGACGCTTTTCTGTTATGCCAAAAAAAAGGGTATAAAGCTATAGTTTCTTAACAGGGAGATCACACAGGCCATTCTGATGTGGGATCATTACTTTACTACCCTTTAGTTATGTAAACAGACCTCTACTAACACAAAGAGAAAGGAGAACTTTGTGTAGCTATCTTAGTTTGTACATCTACCTTAATTTTGGTTCTGTAATCAGAAAGGACAATTTTTATTTCACATAAACTGTTAAGAGTGGTTCTAACACTCTAAAGTTTAAAAACACCAGTCAATTCTTTACAGTTCTTTTTCCTTTATCAAAATAGTAACTGCTAATTACTATTTTTAAAATAAAACATAACTTCCAGAGTCATAAACCTCTTTCTTCAGATACAGAGTGGGTGAAGGGTTTGAAAGAAAATAATTTATAAATGACTTCGTAAAACACAACTCCTTCAGGTACTATTAACTTTGGAAAAGTTAGGGCTTCTCCTAACGAGGTTTTTACTCTACCTCATACTCTAAACTTGTAAGGTTTTAAAATATTCAGCTTGCCTTTATTCTTTTCTTAGAGGGGTGAGGGTAAGCCTGCTCCTGGTTACCAGCCAAGAGCTCTCCAGTCAGACCTGAATGGAAAAATCTATCATTTGTTTATTTCATAGTTCGTGTTCAAAAGCAAGAGACAATTTAAATAATAAGAGGGTAACAGGAAAAAATGCACAGAAAGAAAACAAATCAGTAAGCATCCAGAAGAACCTTCAAGAATATTTAATTCGGAAAATGTTATTGGTTTAGAGAACTTGACTGAAAGAAAACAGCTGGGCAGAATTCAAGGTTTTAAATTAAAAACAATCTAACAAGGTCTATGGGGATAACTGTTTGAGCCATATTTTCTACCAAGATTCATTTCTACGAAGTAAAAGTAATAGCAGTATAAGCTAAAAAGGAAATTCCTCACAACTGAGGTAGTTACTAAGTATCAGCACATTTTCCAAGTTCTCACAAGGCAGCTTAGCTATTTACAACCTATTTTTCCTCATACATAAATGGAGTGCCTTTTCAATTTTATGTCTTCTATGATTCCTTTAAAAAAAACCACTCATACACACCAGCCAGAATACGCCTATTTTATTAACATCATGCTTTAATAAATAACTGGCTACTTCTAATAAAATTAAGCCTCTGTTTACAACAGCCCCCAATATTTTATTTTGACCATTCTGCAGAATTTGGTGTAAAAAATTGAATGAAATGTAGACCCTGAGCTATCAAGTAATTATGCTTCAATATAAAAATAGAGAATTACTCTTACGACTGAAGATTGAACAAAAACACAAACAACCTCTCTGTGGGCTTTCGGTTCTGTAGATTCGGTTGGGTTCTTAATGGCTATTTAGAGCAGGAAGAGACTTGCAGAATTTTCATCCTGTCTGAAGACTTTTGGGAACCCCGTTTAAAGTAAGCTGGTATATTCTCATAGTTTTACAAGCTGTCATTTGGTAAGGACACAAGGAAAGAGCTCCTAAGGAGGCAAGACAGTTGTCAGTCTTTGGCCTGGGACAACAGATATGGCCTTTGCCAGTTCGCCCATGTGGCTAAGGGTGACTGCTAAGAGGTGATCTTCTCAGCTCTACCTATTCCCATCCCTCCCCCCTAAAAAATAACACATGAAAAAATCTGGACACCTAGTTCTCCCCCCAGGGGATTCCTTGGCTGGTAGTAGCACACAGCTGCAAACCACTGCAAGTCCTCTGTTTTACTGATCAAAGCGGGCCAGGCAAGATAGAGACTCGAGTTAGATACTCCCTTAAAACAAAGCTGGCATCCAAAACAACTGCACATACACATGCACAGACTCAAACTTTGCTCGAGTGTTGACAGCTATTCCCTGAGCCCAGGCTGTACCCCACTTCTGGCTAGCTCCCAGACAGTTCTCTTACATGACTGGCTTTAAAATCTGGATCACTCTGACAAGGCAGACCAAATCAAACTGTTGGTCACTTCTTGCTGCCACTGATATAAAAATGTTAAGAGGGTCAGTGTGGACCTGAAAACTGGCATACAGTGGCATGCTAGCTTACCTGGTTAAAAAAAAAAAAAAATACAAAAAACGCAACCTCTCTCACCCAAGGGTGAACATGTGATAATTGGGACATTCTGAATGTCTTTTATCTTTCACAGGAGACTACCGTGTATCAAGAATCTTTGTCTACTTGGGCTATATTTTATAAGTGGGTTCAAGAAATGGACCTATAAGTGACTTTAGCTTATGTAATTCAACTCAACCCAAACAGGCAGCCTGCAGTCTCTTCCAACCACCAGCTCTAAATAAAGTATAACCTTCTGTACTGATGCTTGACTATGATCTGAAAAGCGGCTCAGAAGCCCACTTGTGCCTTCACATTCTGTCCTAACTTAATAATAATAAAGATCCCAAATCACCTCTACTTCTCTCCAGATAAGGCAGCTAAAATAACGGGGATAAATGGCAATTTTACTGCTTGTTGGACTTTTTCTTTTAATAGGATAACATGATAAATAAAACCTGCTTCTGTACAGCTATTTAATATTTCAGAAATACGTACATGTTACATGCCAAGAAAGGACCCTGGTTTTCTTGTAAGAAACAAGGTGAGATCATAATTGGAAAAAAAACCCCACAAACAAAATGAGAAAAAACAAACAAAACAAACAATAGAGTGATAAAGTCACAAATGCACAACTAACTACAGTTCTGTACCTACACTGTTAGCCACGTTAACATGATTCTGGAAGAGTAGGAACCAACTGAACGTACAGGTCCCTTCTGCTCCCAAAACTGAATGAAAAAACAAAGTCAGCATTTTTAAACCAGTGGCCACATAGTAAAAACTGTACATTGTTGTCCATTCATTTAAAAAGCAAAGTCACTAGGATGGTATAAAAGTGATAACCGGTGCCTTTTAACTTTCTGATGATGAACATTTTCTTCTCCAAAGTTTGAGAATTATCTCCACTCTCTCTGCATAACCAGGAACAGGATGCAGAAGACAGCGAGGAGGTAGGGCTGTGCTGCAGCACGGGCGCCAGCACTGTCGGCTTTGTCATTGGCACTCTTCCCGGCATGGTCAGTGGCATTGTACTCGAACTCTGAGGGGCACTGCTGATACTCACACCCACTTCCGCTTCCTTCTCCGCTACTTTCATCGCCTATGTTTAAGAAATGGAACATTTTATTTCACTTGTTCTCATCACAAAGCAAACAAGAACAACTCACGCTTCAAGACTGAAAGGGCTTACTGATATCAAAGAAGTCCACATCATTCCCATTATAAGCGTTCTTCATTTTACTGGTCATAACCCGAAGAGCCATGATTTGACGAAGGATCAGTATATCCGGTTTGTCGGTATCAACCTGGACCTCAGGGTTATTGCCCTGGTTGGCTAATCCATTTCCTGTCACTGCAAACAGGTACCTAAGTGAGAAATGACCAGAAAAACAAATGATGATTAGTAAGACAAAGGCAAAGAAGAAAAGAAAATCCAAGATTTCTGCTAGATTCTCATATTTCTACTAAGCACAATTAAATGGGAGTTCTTTCATTCACAATGACCTCTAATTTCACCTTTTCTTGAGTATGCATCTTAGTTCTCCAGTCTGACCAGGACCTTCTTGAAAAACTATCCCTTTTGTGGAGGTTGGTGACTCAGAGCAAAGCATCCTCAGAATGGGTACACATCCAAACCACAGAGTGGGTAAGGAAGTGGGCACGGTGCATCAGCAAGGCAGACAATGAGACCCTCTGAGACCTATGACTTATGAGGGCAAGGCCGTTGGGCAAAGCCCCACAGGTATTAAATATTTTTAAAAATAATGATGCTTAGAATAGTCCTAATGTTAATAAGATAACTCCGGTCAACCTTTTGATCCAGTGCTCTTTGTAAGTAGCTGGGAGCCTTCTGAACATTTTTGCTGCAAAGCCCATTCCCAAGAACATCTAGAAACCTTCCCAGCACCTCTCCAGTGCCCTGAATGACCCTCTCTCAAGGTCTCTCAGGCACCTAGCAGGGGCAGACTGCAAGTGCACTGACAGGCGGCTCACCTGCTCTTGCCCTTCCCATTCCAGCAGTCCTCCTCATTGCCGTTGCCTGCGGCCATCCTCTCATCATTGCAAACGTTGCTAGGGAGGGAGGACCAGAACTTCTTGGCCTGTTTCAGTTTCTCCTTGACATCAGTAACCTAATTGAGAAAGATTTAAAAGACCTCTGTAAAACAACACAAAACAACCTACGCATGTGCCCCTTGATCATCTCTAAAGATCTCTAAAGGCACAGGCAACTCATTTTCAACTGTAGTTGAGAAGAAAAAAGTGCAAGTACAGAATCACTTCAAGGAATTAAGAGTTGAAATGCAAACCCTGAAGGACTTGCCTAGAACCTTTGTCTATCGATGTCATCATAACTACCATCTGAGGCCTACCGACTCCTGGGGACAGAGCGATTGGACACAGTTTCTTCACTCAAGGCTTCTATGGTCCGGATCAAGCTTCTGTATGATCCACTCTGGGAAACCTCCCTGTCAGTGCTCTGCCTTCCCACCTACTACTATCTCTTCAGGCTCCTTGTCCTATGCTCCCTCCTATCACTGTATTATCTTCCACTTTTACAGCACATTATTGTGCAATAAGCAACCTGACTACAGTCTATTGCTCTTCTCCCATCCTAGCATTTATCATTCACCATCTTATGTTGGGGCTTTTCGAGAACAAGGACTCTTCTTATTACTCTGAGACTCCTTAACAACAGGCACGTAGCGGATACCCAGTAAACACAGAGAAACTAGAAAGGGAAGTTCTGAGATGAGACTTACAGCATCCATTTCCTTGACTATATAGGAACTTTCTGAATTAAAAATGAGAGAAGTACATTTACTACCGTTGACATAAATTTGCTTGAAAAGTTACATCAGAAAGACACACGCTTGTAAGCTTTCCAACTAAAAATACATTTTGAGCTAAGGCTTTCAGCTCTTTGTCACTAAACACGGCCATTCCTGCTAAAGCGCTCACCAGTCGGTCCAAACTCGTGCCGGCCGCTGTGGTTGGGCGCTCCTCGGGATGGTATGGGCGGAAGCGAGTGCTGAAGGCACTTTCAGAGATGGAACGGGAAATGCGTCCAGCTGGGAGGGGCTTGGGGGGACCGCATCCCTGGAAAACCTGTATTGGAGCAAGCATGGTTGGATTAGGAAGGCACAGGGCAAGTCTGAGGTGCTGCCGGCTCTCCTAGCCCGCCTTCATTACCTTCTGGGATACTTGCACACTGTTCTCTTGCATATTCATAATCGCATCAGAAATCTTCACATCGATGGGATCCATGACAGACTCAATGTTGAAAGGACCCTCTAGTCTCTCCGCCACCATCAGCATGGCATCTAATAGGAGGTTCAGGGAAGAACAACAGAGCCTTGGGTAATTAAGCAGTCTTATTTTATCGTCTTTATTGCCAGAGTGGGAGTTAGGGGGTGGGGGGTTAAAGATCATAATAATTAGTTCATGTTTTTCTACCTAGTTCCACGACAACAAACTGCGTTCAGTCACTGTATGTATCACTAGCTCTCTAAAGTTTTGAAATGGTCAGGCTAACAATTCTCAGTGCAGCAATGACACCCAATCCGGAATCTCTCACTATCCTGATTATTCCTTCCTTCTTTTATCACAAGCTGTAAGGCTCTGGCCTAGCACTCAGGTGAGAAACCTATGGCTAGAGGCAAACTAACATGCCATTTCTCCCAGAGGCTTCCCTATAATCTATTCTTTTGGCTTCAGATTCCATTTGCAAGAGTCAAAACCATGGAAAAGTTAAAATCTTAGTGTACCAATTCCCTTCCTTCATTTTTTGTCATCAAACCTTTTAGATCCCTGAATGCGCATTTAGAAAATACAGATGAAAGTGTTCTAGAAATGCTAATGACTTTTCAAATAATGAAACTCTGAATAATGCAATTTTGTGTTAAGATAAACTTCCATTTCAAACATAAGAGCTTCAATTTTATTTTAAAGTAAAATATGTAACTCTTTCTATCCCAGTGAAAAGACAACATAAGACAGTACATACAAATTGGGTGCTTACAGTCTATATCTTCCCGAATGACCACCAAATCACTCTGGACTTTGGAAGACACTGGCATTTTCCAAGCACTGAATCTCTTTAGATCTAAAATGCCACCCACAGAGCTCATGAGTTCAGAGGATGGGTCTCTGGGGAGGTGACTGGCTTTCTAGTGGATTAATCCATTGATGAGATCATAACTGGATGGCATTACAATGTCAGGTGGTGAAACTTAGGAGGTAGATCCTAGCTGAAGGGAATGGGGGAAGGGATCATGACGTTGGAGACTGTATATTGCTCTGACCCCTTCCTCTTTGGCTGTTTCCTGGCTGCAATGAGATGAGCAGCTTCCTCTACTACACCCTTCTACCGTGATATTTCTTACCATAGGCCTAAAAGCAATGGTTCTAGTTAACTATGGACTGAAATCTCTGAAACTGTAAGCCAAAATAAATCTTTCCTCCTTTAACTTGACTTTCACAGGTACTGTCACAGCAACGAAAAGAGAACACCATCCCTTAAACAAAGGGATGTTTGTTTTCCACATGTTTATTAGGATTATGAGATTATTTTTACCTATTGTGTAAAATTAGGACTTGGAAATGAAACCCTCAAAAGAAAACAAGGATGCTTCATTAGTGACAAACGGTGAATTTTAAAACTTGCTCTTCCCTTTTACTCTAGTGCTTAAAAAGAGGCCCCCATTATCTCCATCTACCTTCACGTAGTCCCAGGTCAGATTTTAGAAAGCAGGGCTATTTTCCAGAAGACCGTATGTCCCTCTCAACTGCAGTGCCCAGCTGAGCTTCTACCTAAGCTTTCCAGTGGAAAGGAATTTAAATACCAACATATCAGTAAAACCAAATTTGGTCATCAACCTTTTTCACCTTCAAAGTAGAACAAATACTATACAACATTGGAAAGCGCAAGGTCATTTCCCTAAACCAAAATTCTGATGTCACAAAAAGCAAATGCATTTCCATGAAATACAATTTTTTAAAAGAATAACAAATAAAGTTTCTGACTGCACTGTGGTAAGCACCAATAAAGTGATGCTTCTAACCGCTAAGTAAAAGCTGACAGCATGAATATACGATTGTATTACAGGAGAAAAAAATGCTTTTGATGTGCTAGCAAAAGGAGATTTTTGTAAACAAGTGGAGCACAACTTAAATGTGTTCGTCATTGTCAAAGCATCAGAGCTGCCATGTACAGAAAGTACATTCCTTCGTAATCCAAGAAGAATCGCTGGCTCCACATAAAAATATTATGAATAGACAGATAATAAACATCCAAAATGCAGAGGTTTAAACAAGAAAACACAGTGTACTTTGTAACTACTTATTCCCCTAGTGGTGAGGAAAGGGCAGATCACAAATGTGTTTGTGAAAGACTGAAAGGAAACATAAACCCCAATTCTTCTGGCTGTTTGGTGTCTTTGTAAACTCTGAGGCTGGCCGGCCATACACAAGGGCCTGGGAATGGAGAGTGAAGCTGGGCTTTGTTGGGGCCCGGTGCCATGGCGTTGTGTGTTGTGCGGCTGAAGAATGCGACTAAGGATGCATTCTGCCCGCGGTCCACAGGCCCACGAGCCGAGAGCCAAAGCTGCTCCTAACCCCTGCAGGAAGTCACAGCTGGCTATCAATCGGCTCTTCTGTAGCGGTACTAGCCCTAAGAAGAAGTCCTAAGAGAAACCCAAAGAAGGTTGATTTGGTGTTTTGGTTTTCTTCTCACTGATACAGACCACAGGTGTCTTATCTACAGGATATCCAAATGGCTCCTGCCAGGAACTGGCTGGTGTCTCTGGCAGCAACCTCAATACTAAATTCCCACCAGCAGCAACCTGTGATGCTAATAGGGCTGGCTGAATTGAATAAGCATAAATACAGGTTCAAAATGTGATGGACAATAACCTGCCCCTAAGAGCAAACTTACGATTTTCTAGAACCCGACTTTTTGGGGTGTGTGTGTGTGTGTGTGTGTGTGTGTTGGTTTATCTCTTGAACTGAAGATTATAAAAGTGAGTCTCAAAGTGTTTCAATGACTTGGATCCATCCAAATAAAAGCTGAGAAGACTTGCACATTTACTAAAGGGTCACAATTCATGGCAATATGCAGGTTCAGTAACAAGGACAGGGAAGGCATGGCAGGGAGAAGGCAGACTTGGAAAATCTATCGTTAGTTTCCCAAAGGGTCTAGTCCAATGGCAGAGTGGCAGCGCTCAGGATACTGGCACGGAGCACCTCCCCCCGACCCCCAGCAACAAAGAATCCCCTCCTCACTAGAAAAAGCAATTCCTTCTGCATTGTGCCGCCAATAATCAGAAACTCACATCTTCAGCCTCCTGACATGACTAGAAGAACAAAAGGCAGTTTCCCGACTTAACCCCAAGATCTGATTTAAAGAAGGGGCAAAAAAAGCCCTTGACCATTCATTAACTGCAGTCATTTAAAGGGGAAAGACAAATTCTTTGCAGAGAGGAGAAAAAAGACAAGGAATAAGAGAGAATTTACAGCAGAGGCATGTAAATTGGGACTGAATTCTATAACCACAGAGTAGATTAATTAAACCCTTGTGAAAAATTCATGAAAAAGCACTGCAGATTAACAATGTCTATTACTCCTGCCCTTTTAGATCAGCTTATTAGAAATAAAGACAAGTGCACCCATTAAAAATAAAATCTGGATACAATTTCATGCCTCATCTCTCTCAAAAAGTATCATTTAAAATAACGGGAAATTGATTCAAAAATCCTATCAATTTCCACTTGAGTTTGATTTTATTTCCTCAAAGATAATACATGTGATTTTAAAAATACACTATAAGAATAGCAACAGCAACTTAAGGCCTCCCTCTTCTAGAGTAACTAGCTGAAAATATTAATTAAGCAAGCCAGAGTACGGTTCTGATTTGACATGGATCCATTAATTCTAGGAAAAATCCACAGAACTTATACTTTAAAGGGCTGGGTATGTAGTTCAGTGGCAGAGTGCTCCTTTCACAAGGTTCCATCCTCTACACTGGAAAAAACTGTATTTTAATACAACACAATGAGGATTTCAGTGATAGCTGCTGCTGCACATGTTAGAAGAACACCATAATGTGAGAGAAACGGTACTCTGCACTTTGAATGTCTACATAGGAAAGTCAGCAAAGCTGGGTTACTTACTGTGGACCTTTTATACTGAAGGGTGATTTCTACCGCTTTGCTTGGAGAAACAATTCATTATAGTGAAAAGTAAATTGCAAACTTGACATTTGGGTGTGGGGACAAGGGTGCGGTTGGGGGCTATCAACTTCAGATCTGGAGATGCCATGGGCTTTTATTTTCTGAGAAATATTTCGAAGCAACAATTTCTCCACTGGCTTCATTCTAGGCGTGATGTTCCATTTGTCCCTATGTGTCTTTGCTGGTCCCATGCATTTCCTTTTATGAGGTTCTGCTTTTCTATGTGCAAAGGATTTTTTCTCAGGTCTTCTAGCTTTGAGGTATTTAGTCTACAATTGTCCTGAAGTGCTTAATATTCACATCTTTTTTTTCCTGTGTCAGTGTTCTCAAGAATCTGTTGGAGCCAATTTATTGATGCACTTTCAGAGTTAACATGGTAATTAGCTCTGATGCAGACTAAAAAGCATTCCCCACCCCACCCCCCCAAAAAGCAAGCCAGCAAATTGCATGCATGTTCCCATGATGTGGACAAGTAAGTGAAAGATACGTGCCTATAAAGACATTCAAATTCTGCAATTATGCAAATGTGACTGGGGGATGGGAAAAATGAGAGTTTGTCTGTGTGAGCTGTTAGTACTTGTGTGAGATCCCACTACCACTCAGCATTAAAGGATTACCACTGGTCACCATGTTTCAGGACTAACATGAGCACTAAGTAGGCATTGAGGGAGTTAGCTGATGACTGGATGTTTAAATTATGCTTACTTTGTCTTTCCCGATCATAATAAACCCAGTGCTATCTGGATTCTAGTTTCCTTGGTAGAAAGTATATGCAGAAATCTTTATTTCTCAAATTATCAGGACAAAACTTCTTTCATTCTCCTCAGAGCAGTCTACTATTGCCAGATCTCCTACAAATAAAATCCTTGAATGTCCACAATCAGATTTCTCCCGATCCAAAGAAGAAATGGTATCTGGAAAGTCTGCACATAGAACTTTTTTTTTTTTTTCTTTTTTCAGCACTGGGGTTTGAACCCAGGGCCTTCACACTGAATTACATCACTAGACCTTTTTATTTGCATTGTTTTTAAAGACAGGGTCTCATTAAGTTACTAAATGGTCCAGGCTTGGCTCAAACCTTCAACCCTCCTGCCTCGGCCTCCCAGACTACAGGTGTGCAGACAGAACTTTAAAAAAAAAAGTCATCCTGACAGCTCCATGAGGACTGTACTTCACCAATGACATGCATACAAAGCTATGATATGTAACATTAGAACGGCAATTTCTCATTATTAAAGTTAGTAGTCCCAGTACCTTATGTCTTCAGAAATGCTACCATTAGATCAAGGGAACATTTACTTGTAGTAATAATTTTACTATCTTCAAAGTATTGAGCACAGCCTAACTAAGATGCTGGTAAATGCTAAATAACTAGCCCTAGAAGAGAAATTTCATAGTTGGCGATTACAACCTTTTTCATAGCAGAGGCAGAGCCATCTCAAGCAACACAAATATAAGTTGTCATCACTTGCTCACCTATGAAATTGTTCCACTCGAAGTCGAGATCACCCTGGTTGGCCAAACAGCCTCTCATGATGTTAGAGCAGTAGTTGTAACATGGCTTCACTGTCACGAGACCCCGGCAGTGGGAACAGTAGATCATCTTCAGCAAGGCATGGGTACACTGCGCTGTGGGGTTTACCTAAAGTGCGAGAAGCGAAAAGACAGCAGGAGTAGAGCTAAAATAGACACAGAGGGCCAGGGATATAGCTCAGCAGCACAGCACCCGCCTGGCAAGCGCAAGGTCCTGAGTTCAATTTCTGGAACCAAAATATAAAATAAAGTAAAATAAAATGAAATAAAATAAAATAGACACAAAAATGACAAATCTCTACCCAATTGACATTGAAAACTTGGCTATGAACTTTATTTAATAACTATCAGGCCCAGCCTGCCTCCAGTGGAGGCGAGTGGGTCGAGATTAAATAAACAGAAGATATTTGCTAGACAGAGGGAGACAACAGAGGTGGGAATGAACATCACATAACCTAAACCACTTACCAGTCCAACTATTTAAATACAGGATGGCCAAAATTTGCATATTTTTTCATTAATTTTTATAATATAACAGGAACTATAAAAAATGATAATTTTATCAAATTTATTCAATACAAGAGTGTACTGGTTGAAATGAGACTGCCCCTAAGCAACTCTTAGGATAGTATATAAACAAATGTGCTGCCTGAGTGATGTTTGGCATAAACTGTTAAGTGGTTAAACAGCCAAGTTTCAATGCCTTCTGTCTGTCCGTCTCTCTCACACACACACACATATATACACACACGTTCGTGTT